AGAGCATTATACTTTGATTTGATTTTAATATGGTATCATAATTTAATTTGATTATAGTTATAACGTTGTACTATACTATGTTGCTATTAACGTCAATTTATATCGTAGTGTATGGGTTTTGATCCTATTAGCGTCAAGTAATCTTGAGTAGGGTTTGAATGAGATTGAGAGAGGTTTCGTTTGTGATCTTTTTGAGTGTCCGGTTTCGCAACGCAAGGTCCATAGACCCCGTTAAGCCATGATTTAGTGTCCTACACAATCCCGATGATTGTGCAATAGTGTTTTATCGCTTTGGTTCATTGTTTAGCACTGTTAAGGCTAAGGAAAATCAAACACATGAACTTTCCAAATGATGTTTTCTCATTAAAATAGCGAATTGTACAGTGATTACATAACGTAAACCCTATCATACAAGGGTTAATGGAGTTGACCGGTTTGACTAGTTGACTTTGTTTGACTTTGACTTGACCGAAATTTGATGGTTGTCACATCAGAGTTTTATAAAATTTAATGTAAAGTTTATAAAAATGGAGTTTTATAAAAGATAGGTTATGATTTGATTATAACAATCTACTTTGATTTGAAGTTTAATTATAGCATTCAAGTTTGATTCTTTTAATTTAATTAGAGCATTATACTTTGATTTGATTTTAATATGGTATCATAATTTAATTTGATTATAGTTATAACGTTGTACTATACTATGTTGCTATTAACGTCAATTTATATCGTAGTGTATGGGTTTTGATCATATTAGCGTCAAGTAATCTTGAGTAGGGTTTGAATGGGATTGAGAGAGGTTTCGTTTGTGATCTTTTTGAGTGTCCGGCTTCGCAACGCAAGGTCCATAGACCCCGTTAAGCCATGATTTAGTGTCCTACACAATCCCGATGATTGTGCAATAGTGTTTTATCGCTTTGGTTCATTGTTTAGCACTATTAAGGTTAAGGAAAATCAAACACATGAACTTTCCAAATGATGTTTTCTCATTAAAATAGCGAATTGTACAGTGATTACATGACGTAAACCCTATCATACAAGGGTTAATGGAGTTGACCGGTTTGACTAGTTGAGTTTGTTTGACTTTGACTTGACCGAAATTTGATGGTTGTCACAGACTGGAATTGTAATTATAAGCTAATTGGAATTGGGCTATGGATCACCTTGGAATATAGGTTGGACGAAATCTATGGGAAGCCCATATGATTTTCGTTCAAGGCATGTTCCAGAAGGGGTCCATGGGCTGCTTAGGGCTTAAGCAGTCAAATTAGGGTTTCCTTGTTAGATAACCCTAATTGCCTACCTATTTAAAGGCCCCTTGAGACCCAAAAACGTGGCCAACCTTTTCAAGAGGGTTTTTGGACGTTTTTGGAGTTCTCATTCTCTTTCTTCTTCATCTAGTTGCTTAGTGGTGTTTGTGACTCCATTAGAGGTGCAACACTTGAGGCACTAAGCTTTATGAAGCCAAGGAATAGATTGTTATTACTATATAACAATCAGAGGTTAGATCTAAACCCTATTTTATGTTAATATGATTAGTTGTATGCTAGATCTAGGGTTTATAGCTTTGGATATTCAATTGCATGTTCATTAGACAAATTAGATCCAAATGCTATTAGGGTTTGCATGTACACCATAGGAATGATGTAGTAATCCAATTGTAAATTATTTGAAGGTAGGTAAATGACGATTTACCAATTTCACCACGATAAACGAAATTTTAATAAATTAGGTTTTATTAAATGAAATTCCAAGATCCTTTGAGATTCATTGAACTATTCAATGGCATGTTTAATCTCGATTATGCACTTCAAATTTGTGACTGGGATACCGAGGATCACCGATAAGGTGTGAATAACCATGCAAATTAGTTTGGTACTCTCGATGTCATTTACCACCTAATCAATGTGCCAGTTAACCACACACGCTCCATTGATATGTGATAATTTACGAGTTACCCATTTCCACCCTTGTTAGTCCAAGTTAGTGTGCCGGTTAACCACACACGCTCCGCTAACGACTTGACAAGGTGAAATGTGCAATTTCATTGATTAGCATCAAATTCACATTTTCCTAAAGTAACTAAGATTGGGAATTTTAAAAAAAAAATTAGTTACTTTATATTTTTCATTATACTTATTAATGAGGATTTAATGTCCTATCCTACCCGTTCGGCTAACGACCTTGCACTAGTTAAGAGTGCGGTGGGTAAGAATGGATACCCAGTGGCGGTCATTTTATAGGTTGCTTCTTTAAACACCCCTTATAGACTAGCTTTGTGAATGAGGCCTACTAACGGTAAGACTGAATTTTCATATACATATATAATATTAGACTTTTAATTTTATATAGTATAAGGGTGTATTTTAAACATTTAAAATACTTGGGTTTTTAATCTTATTTAAATTTTTTGAAATTAATACTTTTTAATTGAAAACTTTAAATATTAAAAACCTTGATTTAATAATTATCCAAAATTAAACAATTACTTTAAATTATTAAATCTCATAAGGATTATCCATTAAATTAAATAAATAATTTAACATAATCTCTTTATCCCCTAGATTTTTGAAATCTAATATTGGGGAAGGCATTTTCGAAAATTCTAGGGTTAGCAAACCCTAAAAATCGAAATCATAAGGGTCAAAGGAAAGGGTTCAAAAACCCTAACCAAGTTTCGAAACTACGGTTTAGAAACCCTAATTTCGAAAAATCCAATCCCTAGGGTTCAAATGCCATAAACCCTAATTTTGTCAAGTTCAATCTATTGTATCAAATCTAATTGAAAGAAAATCAAATGCTCTGATACCACTGATGGGTTTTACACAAACAATCCTATGTGTGCATACAACCCTAGATTGAATCTATATTTTCTCTATTAGACATACAATCATTGAACACAAAATATAAAACCCTAATATGCATCTAATATTTCGAATAAAAAGATTAGAACACATACCTTTGTTGTTATATAGTAATAACAACCAATTCTTGAAGATCCTTGCTTTTGAGAACAAGTACCACAAACGTAGTACCTCTAATGGCTCACAAACACACTAGGTCGAGAGGATGAATATGAGAGAGAGGAGAGATGAGTCACTTGCTTAGAAATTCGGCTCTTCTAGGGTTTCAATGAGGTGCCCGAATTCAAGAGGCCAAGAGGCTCTATTTATACTTGAGGCTAGCTAGGGTTTTGAGGTAGAAACCCTAATCCCTTAGCTTAGGGCCTAAGCAAGTCCATGTACTCCCTTACCTTAGGGTTTGGACGAAAATCTCTAGAACCTTCTAGGGATTTTCGGCCCTCCCTAATAAGGGTGATCCAATGGTCTAAAACCACAACTATCAAATAATTGCAAAACAGCCCCTGCACTTTTAATCAGTTCCTTTAATCTCGAAATTTATTCCAAATTAATTTCTGATTAAATACTAATTAATAATATGATTTCTAATTAATATATTATTCTTATAATATATTAATAAATTATTTTTATGCACCATTTTATTATTCCAAATAATAAACTCAGCCTCTTTCTTCAATAGTCATCATGTGCAGTTGTCAGTGTGGATGCAACCCAAAAGGACCATGTCACTATCAAATCAAGCACCTACCTATTATAATTATGTGTTTAGACACCTAATCCAATATGTATGACTTACTAAGATTTCCATCCTAACGTATTATTTTAACATATATCTTTTTTTGGTGTGGATTAAAAAGAAAAGATAGCCATACGAACATGAGCTTTTTTCCGAAAATATAAAGGTCTTTTTCTAAGAAAAATAAAAGATCTGAAGATAATTTCTTTTATTATACTACATATCAAGTTGCACATTAATATAAAAAATATTTTTTTTATTAATAATCAAATAACTAGAATAAAAAATCATCAAAATATATTATATTAATTGTTAATAAACAAAGAAATAAATGTAGCAATAAAAGCTTTGCATGGAAAAAGATTATGGGTTTCAAATGATATAAACAAAGTGCTCTTTTCTTTTATAATTTATTTTGAGGGGACGAATAATCTTTGATTATGCAAAGAGAAATTAAATATCCTCCTATTTTTCTTCCTACAAATCCTCGTATCCAATGAAATAATGACATGTGACATATTTATATGCTAAAATATCATTAATTGAGCATTAAATGTTACACATGTCACTATTTAATTAGGTAAGAAAATTTGTAGGAACAATAAGTAGGAGGATATTTAATTTCTCTTATGCAAAATAAAGGAAATATAATGTAACGCAGAGATGGTTATTTGATTTATGATAATATTAATCACATGTATCATCAAGTCGAATTATAATTAATTGAGTTGGTGTTTTATTTATAAAAAAACAAATAAATTAGTTCTACTATGGAATCCGTTGGTAGATGTATACCTAATTAAGGAGGCAAGTTGTCTCCATCTAATTTGGCTAATGGTATACGTTTTGCATAGCTATAATTTGTCGCCATCGCTTTTTATTAGCAAAATTACAACCGATTTAATTCAAAAAAATTTATGATTTGTCTCAAATCAGATAATGGACGTCTTTGATACGGAGTTTTTAAAAATTTTATTTTTAAGGAAAAATCTCAAGAAAACTAAAATTTCCATTTAATAATAGATGCTTTTAGTTTTTATTTTAAATAAAAAATATAAAACTATTTCAAATAGATTTTTAAAATTTAAAATCTTTGATTTTTATATAACTTTATATATTTAAAAATTAACAACTACTTTTATTCAATATTTATATATAAATAAAAAAAATACAACTATCTGGTATCTATTTATATATACCAACTTCCAATTATATATACCAGCTATCCGTTATTTTTACTGAAAACAAAAATATGATCATCAAGACATCGACTACTTGACATATTTTTCCCATTAAGCTAACTCAAATTAATATTTAAATTATTAATTATCTAACGGTCATTTACATGGCAATTTATGTAACAAAGGGGTAAAAGGTGTAATTAAACCAACTTAAGCCCTTATTTGTAGAGAAAGGAGAGAAACGCAGTTTACTCATTTAGTGAAGAGTCTGAAGACCGAAGACAAGAGTACAAGACTTGTCGGAAAAATATTGCATAATCGCCGGAGACATTATTTTCCGGCTAACCAGAACACATGTTCCGTTGCTTGCATAATTACGTTCTAACAGTATCAGAATGTCGCTGTATGATAAAGCGTTTATAAACAGCGAGCTCTCAAAACCCACCTCGATATTCGGTCTTAGGCTATGGGTCGTCGTCGGAATCTTCGTCGGAGTTATCATTGTTCTCCTACTGTTTCTTCTCTCCCTCTGTATAACCTCTCGCCGACGAAACTCTCCGTCGAATAAAAGAAAGAAGAAATTTGAACAAACCCAAACCCTAACCCCCGCTGTGTCAAAGGATATACAAGAGATCGTCCATCATGACGCAATAGCGGCGGTGGATCACCGTCCACCTGTGGCGGAGATTCAAATCGATTTAGGGAAGTTGGAGCACCGGGTGGTTTTCTCCGATCGGCAGTCGAGCGGTGAGAGTAGAGCAACAAGTATCGAAACGCCGTCGTGTGGTGGTGGCAGTAGTGTGCCTTCTTTGCCCGAGGTTTCGCATCTAGGATGGGGCCGGTGGTACACGCTCCGGGAGCTTGAAGCGGCGACGAATGGACTTTCCGATGAAAATGTTATCGGAGAAGGTGGTTATGGCATCGTTTATAGCGGTGTGTTGGGGGATGATACCCGTGTTGCAGTCAAAAACTTGTTAAATAACAGGTAATTACATTACTATCACCTTATCATCTCTAAATTAGATTTTACAGTTAATCATGTTAGCAAAAAATCAAAATTCTGTTTCACGATTGCCCGTAATTAGATAACCAATGCATTCAATCGTGATTCTTCTTCATTAGTCATAATTTAAGGTCCAAATATATTGGACTTTATCAAGGTAATCTCTGATATGATGTTCATGTTGTTCTTCAACAGTCGTATCAATTGTGTCTTTTTCTTTCAAAGGTAGCAATCAATGATGCCTTTATAAGAATTAAATTCAAATTTCAGCTGAGTATAGCATCAATAATTAGAAATTTTTAGCTACTGTTTACCAACAATTCGATAATTGATTGTGCACTATTTTTTTTTCCCTTAAATAAACATGGTTTTATCAGTTTTCTTTTTTATTTTTGATTTTTTTTTTAATGGAATGATTAAACATCAGGGGTCAAGCTGAGAGAGAGTTCAAAGTAGAGGTGGATGCAATCGGGCGTGTAAGACACAAAAATCTTGTTCGCTTGCTAGGATATTGTGTTGAGGGAGCCTACAGGTAACAATTTTATATTATCTAATTGCATAAATCATAATAATCACATCAAACATTATGAATCAATTCTCATATTATCTTTGTTTATAGGATGCTCGTTTATGAGTATGTAGATAACGGGAATTTGGACCAATGGCTTCACGGGGAGGTTGGAGATGTTAGCCCGTTAACTTGGGCTATCCGCATGAACATCATTTTGGGAACCGCAAAAGGGTAAATCCGTCATTTTCGAAACTTGGTCAAGGGTTTTTTAAGTCCTGGAAGTTGCATTGTGAGAGTTTCAATTCTAATGTGGATTTGACTCCTTATGGACAGTGGGCCCTTATGTCAGCCATCTAGCTGACCACTGTGTACCTGTTAGACTGTTAAAATAACCCTTTTGTAGAAACAAATGTTTATATTTGTACTTTTTTTTACAGTTTGGCGTATCTTCACGAGGGTCTCGAACCAAAAGTGGTCCATCGGGACATAAAATCGAGCAACATATTAATCGATCGTCAATGGAATTCTAAAGTTTCCGATTTTGGTCTTGCCAAGCTGTTATGTTCCGAAAGCAGTTATGTTACGACTCGTGTAATGGGAACTTTCGGGTAATTTTCTTCATAATTTTACATAAATCCTTTTCTTTATCCATTTCACTACAATTTCTCATGTTTTTTGTTGTCCAAAAAAATAATTACTACCAATTGTTAGATATGTTGCACCAGAGTATGCTTGCACGGGTATGTTAAACGAGAAGAGTGATGTATATAGCTTCGGGGTACTAATTATGGAGATCATTTCCGGAAGAAGTCCCGTTGATTATGCTCGACCTCAAGGAGAGGTTAGTTCATAGATCTCCAGCCTCATGACATGACAGATAAATGACCATAGACTGTGTCTGGTACTGATACTGATACTTTATTATTGCAGGTGAATTTAGTGGAATGGTTGAAGACAATGGTGGGAAACCGAAAAGCTGAAGATGTGGTGGATCCAAAGTTACCCGAAATACCATCTTCAAAAGCGTTAAAACGTATACTTTTGGTTGCTCTTCGGTGTGTAGATCCAGATGCACAAAAAAGACCCAAAATGGGACACGTTATTCACATGCTTGAGGCTGATGACTTGCTCTTTCATAGAGACGACAATCGTAGTAGATAATAACTATTGTTTTTTATATGTTTTAACTGTTTAAAGGCCTAAAGTTACATCACTATTGGACCACACATATGTATGTAATGTTATTCACATATTAATTCAATTAGTATTCTTTCATGTGTTACGCTTTCATTTAGGTTACGTAGGTTGTACTCTTGGCTGAATCATTTGTACCTTCTTGGGTGGGGATCCTTTTGTACAAATAAAGCCTAAATCAAAATAACGAGATTGGTATTTGCAAAAGAAAGTGGATTTTGCATGCGAGTGATGGGGTAGTGGGCCAATTTGCCAGCTATTTTTTGATTTGAGGAACGAGGAAGAAGGTAAAGTAAGTCTTTTTTTGTCATCATATGGAATTGTACATCATTCAATGAAAACTGTACATTTGCCAGCTATATTGTTCATCGGAAAAGGTAACTCATTTATTCTAAGCAATAAGCTATGCTGGTTTGTACATCTTGCAAAGGATGGTTGTACCTGTACATCGTCTTAGATTTTGCAATGTCAGTTGTTGTCCACAAAACAACTTCATCATGCATTAAATGTCAGTCCTTGTCTTCACTGTGCATTAAAAATTAAAATCTTACATTTGGCCATGCGAAAGGCAGTACCATCAATGTAACGGATCCGTCGAAACATTGGTACCGTCGAAATGAAGACACACTGGTATCTTAATTAACCATGTCTGATTTTCTTTTCTCTCTTCCTTTTTGAACATTAACTAGTCAAAATTATTTATTTATTTTTAACTTTTTACCAATATAAACACTCACATTTTAAAAAATCACACATTCTCCTATTCAATCTCATATTTCTTCAGTTTCCGTTATTGGTGAAGTTCTTTTGTGGACAAGGACTGAAATTTGAATGCATGATGAAAGTTCTTTTGTGGACAAGGACTGACATTGCAAAATCTAAGACGGTGTACAAGTGCAACCATCCTTTGCAAGATGTACAAACCAGCATAGCATAGCTTATTGCTTAGAATAAATGAGTTACCTTTTCCGGTGAATATATTTGTTTTTAACTTTTTATCAATATAAATACTCACATTTTAGATAAAGTTTTTGGCTCAATTGGTAATTAGTTGGCCTTGTGGAGGGGAGCCTTTATACCTTTTGCATTTTCTACTTTCAGTTTACTTACGTCGGATGTTGTGGAGCTCCTCAATAGTCCAATGGATCATGTATAGTAATGTTATGACCATAAGTTCTATGGATGTTTTTAAAAGAATTTGTTTTGTCATCCAAAAAGGGGTTGCGGCATACTTTGTTACTCGTTTATCTGCTACGTTTATGTAAAACTTCACCATAACCGATCAATTTGATTCGCCGTAAAAACATGGAGCAATTTTTCATTGCAATCTAAATGGATTCTCATGTCTAGCAAAAAACACAACTAGCAAAAAGAAAACATTCCTCAAGATTTTTTATTTTCTGCTCCAAAAACCCAAAACCCAAACAACTTTACCATTCTAAGTTTAGTTGAAAGGTTAAAAAGTATAACTTTCAACAGTCGTGTGTATTCATTGTGTCGTTACAAATATCCACAAAGAAGTTGTTTGATTTGCTCCCGTCTTTGTATTGTCTTGGGTCTTGAGTTTCCAGATTATAACAAGCCAAAGAACAAATGTGTGGCTCGTAATAGATTGGTGAGATGAGACGAACTTGAACCATGGAACTCTATCCCTATGTTCTTGAATAACCTTCCAGACATTATTCACTAGAAAAAAAATACCCAAGTGTGCCAAATGGATTTTGGGTTTGTGATTACAAGAACACACTCTGAGAGATCCTTTCACAAAGAAATTACCGATTACAAGAACATGGAAGACATATGAGGATAAATCCTAACATAAATACTCGGGTCTAGGTATGTCGTCCAATTCCATCCCTGAAGAGATCTATCAGGGAGTCTTCTATGTTAATCTTGAAAACTTTATCTTGATTTTGATAACATATGATCCTTATCACGAAGTATCACAGTCAGTACGTTGTAGCGTACATATCTTCAGTCACGCTGACAAATCTTCAAAACACCACACTGAGATCATCCACGCAAACACACGTTGAGACCATTAGTCAACATACTTGGCAGCATATCAAAATTTCTCCTTTGACTCGTCAAATCATAGGGTTCGACTCAACATGCTCTGATATCAGTTTGTTGTATCATTTTCTTTGTTTGAACTTTGAAGTGTTTGTGATACTGTGAAACATCGATTAACCAGAAAATTTGATAAGAAAAAATTCTTTAGTGTCAACGTTTTTATTAATAATGGTGTATAACTCAAGGAGAAACATTTTGGTAACTCGATATGTCGCATGTACTATGTGATAATTCACAAGCAATGGCTAATGATCCTTATATTGTGATGTAAGCTCTTTCCATTCTTTATCCAACTTAAAATCACTTCAGTTTCAAGGAAATATTCCTTGTGGAACACCTCACTCAAGATGGAAATCGTAAAAGACATTTAGATACCAAAGAGTAATGCTCGGCGAACCTAGGGGTTACCGGCTACCCCTCAAAATTTTCCTGACATACTACCCTTAAAATTATGTGTGCCACATGTAGGGATGAGCATTAGGACCACCGGAACCGGACCTGAACCGGAACCGGAATTGGTAACAAGGTCTGGTTACCGGTTCTCCATTTTTATGAAAACCGGAACCGGTTTGACAATTTTCCCGATTTTTAAAATGTGTATAACTCACTCATATAAAATCGAAATTATTTGATTTTTTTTCCAACATGTAATTTGGAGTTTGTAATTCATTTTTGACAGTACAAACATATGTTTTGGTTAGATATTGAATAAGAAACATGCCTCGAAAGAAAGAATATAGATACTGCGTTTTTTCTATTTCAGCATTTTTTTTTTATTTTTTTGAATCTGTTCCATTTTTTTAAACATGCATAACTCATTCATATGACGTCGGAATTACTTAATTTTTTTTCCAACATGTAAGACCAACTTACATATGGCGTTTCAACATTTTTTTTGGAATCTGTCCCGCTTTTAAAATGCGCATAACTCATTCATATAAAGTCGGAATTACTTGATTCTTTTTTCATCATATAATTTAGTGTTTGTACTTCAATTTAGAATGTAAAAAGTCATAATTTGGTTAAATATTCAGTCATTTACAAGCTCCGGAAGAAAACATATCATCTATAATATTTTAACCGGTTCTAGTTTGAAAAATAACCGAAAAACCGAGACCGGAACCGGAACTGGTGCTAGAACCGGCGGTCCGGTTCCCGGTTCTTATAATATAGGAAAACCGGTTCCGGTTCCGAACCGGTCCGGTTCTAAAACTCATCCCTATGTACGATTATCAGTGCTACCCACAACTGATCATGCTTTAGTATGCATCAATGTACATCAAAGATCCTATGATTGAGATATAATTAGATGGATCGAAAAACTATTAGAAAAAGATTAAAATTAGATCAATTTTATTTTAATGACAAATCCAAAACAAAACGTCATGATCAAATCATTTCTAAGATGATGGTCAATATGATATCAAATTAGTAGGTGTTGGGGAGTGTTTCTCAAACTGGCTTATTAGCTTATTGGCTTTTCAAAAAAGTCAATAAGCTAAAAAAAGTGTTTGGATTGTTAAAAGAGCTTTTTACTTATTAGTTTATTGGCTTTTCAAAAAAGCCAATAACCTAAAAAAGTGTTTGGATTGTTAAAAGAGCTTTTCAAACAGTATTTTGGGTAGGCAACACATGAGAGTTTCAAAAAGCCACAAAATCTTGGCTTTTTAATGGTTTTTTGTTTTTTTAACTAGAAAATTACAAACATACCCCTTCAACTACCCTAATAATTATCTTTTTTTGATCATTTTATCCCTAAAAATGTAAGTCAAACACTTTTTAAGGTTGTAGGGTGTGGTAGTGTTTTCACCGTCGTCAATCCTATATGGCAGCCTTTACCGGCGGTGAACACCGCCCCTCACCCTTTGTTTTACCGGCGGAATAATGCCGACGGTGGAATATCACCGATGACAAAAGTCAAGTTTGTTTGGGTTTTGTCGACGGCAATCAAAACTACCACACCCTTATATTTTTTACAGACGGCAAAAACTGCAATAGTGTCTTTATCAACAAACGTGGTCATCGGTAAAATAAAAAGGGTAGGACACCCCTTACCCTAAAACCAACTTATTGATTTTAACTTTTCCCACCAAAAGATAACTCAAAAACTTTTTTAAAAACTTATTTTCCAAAAAAGTATAAGACAATAAAGACTTTTCTCAAAAACACTTTTGAGGTATTAAAAACAAAGGTCAATATGAAATCAAATTAGAAAAAAAAATCATATATTTGAAGAAAGTCTGGTCCAAAAAATCCTATCCGGTAAAAAGAAAATTCTAAGGTGTTGTTTGTTTTTTGTCTGCAAATCTTCTTGGCTTCTTCCGTCTGCACCGTATAGATATTAGGTTTCGCAGACTGTTTGTTTTTTTGAAGACTGCAGACCTAAAAAAGTCTGTGCACACGTCATCTTTTTGGCGCAGGCATTGACCAGAGTCTTCAAACCTCTTCAGACATCTTCTAGCCTAAAAAACACATGGTTTTTTTTGAACTTATATTTATTCCAACTTTATCTATGATAAATAATTTGGAAAAAAAAAGTTACAATAAGAAAAAAAAAATTCAACAACTCAATCATGACATTTGTGATAAATTTATAAATAAATTTTTAATTACAATAATAGTTGGTAGAGTTGTTTATATAGTATAAAAAAAATCATAATATTGTCTTATATTTTTTGTGTCAAATTTTATAAAACATTATTTAATGCAACATCATTCATTTTTTAGGAAAAATATTTATGGTTAATTTTTAATTGATTTAACTGAAAAAGTATAATAAAAACTTTGAAATTTTTATTTAAAATCAAAGTTTATTTTCATTCATGTTATGTGTTAAATTCTTTTATTCTTAATTATAATGTTTAAGTATAACTTTACGATCAAAGTTTGTTGGTTTTTATCAAATATATACAATAATTCTTATAATTTTATTTTCACTTTTTATACAATAATACATAAAAGTTAATCTATATTTGTTAATTATTTATAATAAAGTCATAAAACTATTGAAAAATTCTTTTAAGTTTTTTAAAAAAATCAGTTTAATTAGATTTTAGTTTATTCTAACACTCTACAGATGTTAAAAAACAAACAATTTTATTCTTTCAGACTACAAACGTTTGGTCCACCTCTTCTACTATAGAGGTTTGCAGACTGTAGACATTTTGACTCAGAAAAAACAAAAAAACAAACAACAACATAAATCGATACAATCTTTTAATGAAAGTAAATTATATTTGTAACCAACTTGAACTATTTCTAAAATTACACAAACTATAGACGATTTAATTATTAAAATATGTTAATATTGATTTTTTTTTTAAATGAAAAAAAAAATCATCAAATTTAGTATATTTTGCTTTTTTTTTTTTAAAACAAAAATCTAAATTATAAAAAAATAAATTGGTTGAAAATAAACTAGTCCATATCACATTGCCCATAAACACAAATACAAATTTAATGCTAACTATAACATATATAATAATCCAACAACAAAAACAACACATACAATTCTACAACATAATCGACTGAAAAAAACATATAAATATATAAACATGTACCAAAAGTATAAAAAAAACATTCCTTGAAGTCACATTCTAACCTGTTGGACCCCACTCCTTGGTGGTTGCTGTTGAAAATTATCCAACAATGCCATTCGACCACTCACCACAACTTTAAAAAAACGATCCATTTCTGATTTGATCTCATCCAACCCAACCAAAAACTTCTCATTATTCTCCATCAATTCAGAACAATAACTCTTAAAAACTTCATCTTTAACATCACCCAAACCATCATGAAGCAAAGGGTACAACTTCTTCACATTTTCCTCAATTCTTCGAAGCTCCATCAATGGAGAAACCCCATTTGAACTATATACATTCTTGATTTCAGCATTGACAACCACCTGCAACTCTGTAAAAGATTCTTGCCATAAATACAGTTTAGGAACCTGCAACTCAACAAGAACCCTAGGGAAAGTTGAAAATGCAGCCACGAATGTGGAAAAGATGAGCATGGTCTGAACCTTGAGTCCATACATGGCTCGAACCAAGTCTTTGGCTTTGGGTATGTTCTTGATTTTGGGCAAGTTGAGTGTTTGTTCAAGCTTGGATATAACTTCACAACAATCTTGTAGCTTTGAGTTGTGATAAGAGTTGTGATATTGTCTCCATTCATGAAGTGAAGAAGATGCTTTCATTAGCTTTTGTGGGTTATCTGAATCAAGATCGAGTAATGCACATTTTAGCATCACGTAACCGAATCTTTGCCTCACGATATCGGTTCCAAAAGCACTGCAAAAATCAAGTAAATTTAAACTGTTGTCTAAATACATATCCACCCATTTTATATCCCAGCTGCATATTGGAAGCTCTAGATCTACAATCAGTTTTCTTACGTCATCAAGTGTATCACAAATTGAAGACAACGCGGATTTCATCCATGAAAAGGTGATGACATCGTTTGGATGATTTGGCTTTAATTGTTGAAATCTTTTGGCCAGATTTTTCTCGAATGCAGTTAGGAATGTTGATGGGAGATGAGAGGTTTTGGGCATCATCATCTTGAAGGGATTCCCAATTGGGAGAAATCCTCGGTGAGGTCCCTCTGAGCGACTCATGGTTGAATCTTGATGTATCTGCAAAAAAAACAAAATTGCAAGAGGAAAACATATGAACCGGATCGGAAAAGAGATTCCATTCCATGGAGTGCTTGGTTGCCAAACGGACGGAATTCAATTCCATATTTAGCTGTCCAAGGAGCCGGGGGAGAAATCTTTGTTTCCATGGCTGGCACCCGTGACTGAACAAAACCATAAATAAATTCATGTTTTCTGCTTTATCATCTTAGTAATGGATAACTCAAAAACAAGGCCATATACCCTTTTCAAATCATTACAAATTCGTAGATCTTGATCACCATGTAATTAATAGTTACTACATAAACTTTCAACAACAATTGTGATGATCCATAATTTAGTGGGCTTGATTATTGAAAACTGGCACCATCCAAGATCATATTCATAATTCTTGATTTGAGAAAAGGCAACAAATGGTTACATTGAAGCATATGATGCTCTATAACTACAAAATTCACTATGAATCTAAAAAAATCAACTATAAATGTAAAGCTTAACTAATGGGTTGACTAAAATTTATAAAATTATTACAATTTTATTCCAAATACTTTCTCTGATAATCTTCTAAAGCGAATTTTCTAGGTTTAGAACCCAAATTTCATTCTAGAACGAAACTAATAAAGCGCCAGTCAAAAGCGAAATTTATACATCAAAAGGGGGAAAATGAGAAAATCTTACCGACAAACGATCTTGGATGGGTACAAAGAAATTCAAGTGATGAACTCCAATTAAGCTACGCTTAATCTGTATGAATATCTGAAACCATGATGAACTGAAGACGGAGTTATATAAAAACAACTAAGGAAAACCCCCAATTCCGTTGAAATTGATAGATGAAACGTAAAATTCAGATAACCCTTGAAAGAAGTTGTAAGGTTCAAAAAAACCCAAATTCGATTTGATAAAAGTATAGACTTGGAAAGATAAAAAGGGGCGCAGAGAGAATGTTGCCCTGATAATCCAGCAATTCAGCAACTCTACAAGACTTTTTGTGTCACTTTGACCTAAACCCCGTTAGCCTCTTACGGTGTTTGCTTTTTTGGAATAAAAAAAAAATGTGTATTTATGTTTGTAGGTGTAAAATATAAAGTATATGTTTTTTTTGGGAACGTTTGTTTTTTAAAATGGTTGGTTAAAAAGATCTTATTTTATCGTTGTTAAAAGACCACATATATGCTTACCGTGTTTGCTTTTTTGGAGAAAAAAAATTGAGTATTTATGTTTGTGGGCGTAAAATATCTAAAGTATATGTTTTTGCGGAACGTTTGTTTTTTAAAAGGTCACATACATGTAAATGTGCGTGTTTTTTTCTCCAAAAAGACATGTCGACGGAAAGACGTTTCTATAGACATCTTCTAGGAAATAATAATTATTAATTTTTCTTATATAAAAAATTAAAAATCTTTCATTTTTTTTTCTTTTTATATTAATTTTAAAAGCAATTACTAAATTGGTCATTTTCCCTAATTAATTTTCAGTTTTTAGCGAAAAATTAGCAATATACTATCATACCCCTAATAAACAAGATAAACAAAAAAAAAACGCATATACTGCCATACCCCTAATAAACAAGATAAAAAAAAGTTTTAGATTCGGAAACACACTTGATTGTTGTTTGAAGGCTTCATTGAGAGATAACTCCGGACTTAAAACAAACACAAAATGAGAAAAAAAATTACAACATTATATATTATAGGTCAACGGGCCGCAAAACAGTAGCCGACCCACCAAACCGTATGCGGCCCACTAAAACTGTAGTCAAACAACCTTTGACCGTAGTCAAAGGCACGTTGACTATAGACCAATCCGAAGTTTAAGGTTTTAATGGCTATTTCCACCTAATTGCTTATTTTTGGCTAAAAACTGAAAATTAATTAAGGAAAATGGTTAGTTTAGTAATTGCCCCTTAATTTCATGCAAAACATCTTTTTCTAAAACATTAAACTACTTTTTTTGAAAAAATTTCAAATAATCCAATTTGTGTAACAATTTAATCTATAAATTATCTTGCATATATTTTCTAGGCATCTATAAATAATCTTGATAACAAATTAATCCAATTTGTATTTAAAAAATATTGTTGTAGCTAATTATTTATAAAAATATAATCTAATACTTTTAGTATTATTTATTCATATTTGATGATTATAATCTATATAATATGAATATTAGTTTAAATCATTTCAAATACAAATTTGTTAACACATTACAATTTCCTCGAAAAGAATCTCACATCAATGAAGATTTTAGTATATGGGAAGGTGGGTCCTTTGGCCCACCACAATTGTTAACAATTACTAGATATTTTATATCCAAAAAATTATGACTTGCCTTGAAAAATTAAAGAACCTATCTTGTGTTGGAAATAAAAAGATAGAAAAAGAAATGTATTAGTTAAAAGAAGAAGAGACATGTATAGAAAATTTATATGATTACGACCTATAGTTAGTCCCACGCCAACCAACCAAATGAAATATGTGAAAGATGATGTCTTATAAGTAAAAAGATGAGAGAAAACTTTGAAGTATATTTGTGCTTGGCGGCTATGACTCAGCTAACGAATTAAAAGCCGATTAGTCGGGGTGCCTTGTTATTTTAAATTGGCTTCTACAATTGTTTTTAAAAATTTAATACATATATTTATAGAAACCGGGTTTCAAGGTCTAAACGGTCTGGCTCATAGTGGTTTACCAACAAGCGGTCATTTGAGATAAAAGAAAATCGACAACTTCATCGGTTCCTGATTCAACCGGTCAAACCTGTCAGGTCCTGTTTTCAAACCATGCTTATATTTGACCAACTGAACTTGGTTAGGAAACCACATGGTTTTATATTCTAGACTCGTTAGTGTCACACATCAAATACCTTTTTATTCTTTTACTTTTTAAAAACCTTATTATCGGATGTTATAAAAAGAAAACCTAGAAAAAAAAATTAGTTTCGGAAATTAGTCTAATCGAAAGAAGTAAAAATAAAATAAATTAGATCAATACATGTTATATAGGGTAATATGGATAATATTTAATTAAATATGTTATATATGACTGTTTGTTTTGTGTTGTTTTAAATAAACAATCAACCAAAAATTATGGGCAGGCATGCCCTATTTCTCATGCAAGTCTTATTTTAAAATGTAAATGGTTATATATTTATCATTTTAACAATAATAACAAGTGGTTCTTAAAAAAAAAATTTAATTTATTAATAGTAAGTGGTTTTAAAATTAATGAACAATAGTTATAAATAATGATAATATCAAACTATAAATTACATAATGTTAATTAAAAATGAATTGTATTTTAAATAAACACCATGACTGAAATTAAAAGATGGTCGTGTAAGTAAAATTTTAAATTAATCGTTCGTAACAATTATTAAAAATAACACTAAATCGAGAACTATATTTAGTTATAAATAATGATAATATCAAACTATAAATTACATAATGTTACCTAAAAATGAATTGTATTTTAAATAACACCATGACTGAAATTAAAAGATGGAAATGTAAGTAAAATTTTAAATTAATCGTTCGTAACAATTGTTAAAAATAACACTAAATCGAAAACTATATTTAGTTTTATTTATGTGCAAGCAGCCGATAAAATTCATAGAATAATATTGTGCAAAATAGTTGAGATTTCATATATAAAATCAGTGTAAAAATTATTATGTTAAAGTTCAATAACATAATGATTTTAAACATATATTTTTCAATATTTTAACAAGATTTTTTAACATGCGTAACGCGCGGGCATTAATTTAATTTTATATAAATCTATAATAACGTGTTTTCTATTGTTTTTATATATAAAATTTTGTTGCATTAAGTCACCCCTTGAAATTGTCATAACTCATAAAGCTTGCAGTTTGATCTTGTGCAGGTCACACCTCCGGTCATTTGGAACCATGAATAAAAACAATCAAACACTTTGAATCTCACCGTTTCAGATGTTTGATTCTTAATGGAATCATTAAGAGGTGAAACAAACAACCCCTTAGCGAGCATGTGCCATAATAAAATCTAGGATCGAATATTTGAATATGGGGCATTAAACGTGAATATTAGATCTGTTAGTTTGTGGCAGAGTATTAGTGCATCTCCAACATCACTATGTTTTTGTCATTACAGTCTATTTATAGAGTATGAAATAGAGTAAATATTCAAACTCAACTATATTTGACACTCTATAAAAATAAATATAAAAATAAAGGAATAAATAATGACACTTTAAATTTAGAGTATAAACTATACAATCTCTTACATATTTTATTTTTACATTGAGTGAAGTTGGAGATGAACCCTCTAAACTTTATTTTAAATGAAATGTAAAAATAATATGTGTTTGGAGATGTTTTTAGAAGAGTTAATATAATGTTAGAAGTATTGTAGCTCTTAAAATTCAAGAATCAGCCATTATAATTTATAAATAGGATAGATTTGAACAACATACAACAAACAAACATAATTAAATTACAAAGAAACAAAAGAAAACATATTTTTTGTAAAGTTCAGTAAATATGTTACGTTAATTATTAAGGATGATCACAATAGGTAAACGTTCTTTGAAGATTAAAAATAACGTCAAAAGTACCTAGCTTTGACGTTACCTGAGTCAAATTTGTAAATTACTCTATTCAGATTATAATTTGCCTCTATCGGGGAAAATTTATATAATTTTTGGTACCAGATTTATAAATACTAAAATAGTTTGTAATCCCTATTCTAATAAAAGAGTAATTTTAATCTCCTTTTGACATGTGCCATCTTATTAGACCTATTAATTAATGCATATTTTATTCTCCTTTTGTCATGTGTCACCATATTATGTCTCCTAATTAATTTTTGTCACTTGTCAACCTATTGATTATTCATTTCAAATTTTAAATTTTAAATTTCCCACTTTATCTACATTAAATTAATAGCTTTAAAATAAAAATAAAAATAAAATTAAACAAATTATAAAGTGATATAGTTTCATATATTTATTTAAATCAATGATTATAATTTTACATAACTAAAAAAATCTTTTAATTAATAATTTATTTAAAATAATTAATTAATAATTTTGAATTTTTACTATAAAAATTTAATTAATTTTGTAACTCGTGGTTCCCACGGGTTATAAACTAATGTAGATGATGAATGACTTGATTTTCGAAGTGCCTCGCTCATAAGTCTACCTTGCATTTCTATGTGTATCACCTATTTTGTTATCAAGTTCACTTTTACGGACAAGGGCAACAACCTGACATTACATTACAAGCCCACAAGTAAACTTTTTTTTTTTTGTGTAAAACTGGTATTTATAAAATAACATTGTTTACCACAACAAAATCAACTGATAATGTTGTCTGCATGGCGCGACGCTTGTCCCCCACAATTTGGTTGTGATAAGAGCAAATCCCGAGTATTTACACCAATAGGCTCGACTAATGATGGATCAAGGGCATGTTCGGCATCAACAAATACACAATAGCCCACAAAATGTTTTCAAAAGAAAATGAATTTTCGTAAACATAAAAAGTATGAAATGTAATCAAGAACTTGGGAATTCACCTCCTTGTTTTGGACTTCAACAATTACATGTAGGTTAACACTTGTCTTTCCAAAAGCTTCTGGACCATATATCTCCACCATACGCCCCTGCATAAGTAGATTGAAACAGAACATTAAATTAAATTGGAGGGTATAAATGGAAACATGAACCGGTGTAGTTGTTTTTATTATTGTAATTATTTATTTTATTATTCTAATTATTTATTATTAATAATTATTACAATAGTTGTTTTTATTATTGTAATTATTATTATTATTATTATTATTATTATTATTATTATTATTATTATTATTAGTTAAAATTGAAACTGCAACAAACATATTCTTAACCTTTTAGCAATTAAAATTGTAAAAAATAATGTAACTATTATCAAAAGTATTCTCAAACAATCCATGTACTCTTATGTCATATCTTGCAATATAAAATAAACATTAAATTGAATTTATGTCATACAACAAAAAAGTTTAGGAAGTAAGAATGACACCTCTCTGCAAGAATTTCATGCTTGTTAAACTTCATATATATGACATCTTGAAAAACTTGCATGGTAATTGAAACCTGATTAAAACAGATCTCAAAATAAGACTGCCATTGTAGTGGTAATCAAGCTGAAACGGGTTCCCAACCACTTTGAAGTTCAAGGATCTGCAAGTTCACAAATATAATTAAAAATCATGTTATCCAAGATTGTCTTCCATCTAATTTCTAATCATTATCCGTAGATTAGATATAATTAGAATCATGGAATTAACAAAAAAAATTGTCATTACACAGAAATTTGATGAAGCATATACCCTCATATTCTTCCTAAACAACGACACATGTCAAGAAAAATTAGTAAAACGATATAAAGTAATTAAAATTCCACAAAAGCCAAGAACCAACAAACACAACCTTAAAACTTAAAGAAACCAACAACCCTCCTATAAACACAAAAAAGTCACAGAAATTTACCAATTACTGAATCCATATAATCATAACTACTAATCAAACCAACGGGCTTATAAAACTTCAGACAAAAACTACAATTGAACCTTTAAACAATAAATCTCAATTATATAGAATTACATAGAGTACCTAATAAGAGCATCTCCAATGGGGACTTTTTTTATAACTTATTATTATTGACTTTTTATAAATGAACACTTATTCCCATTGGAGCACACCACTTTTTGCTTATTTTTATTGACCACTGAATATATATTGAGTGGTCAATATAGTTTAACATTTTGTATATTTTATCCCCTCATCTTCTAATTGTATTTTAATTTACCCCTCTATTATATTTTAGTTTTCAATTTATTTATTTATTTAGTAGTTAATTTTATTTAATTTATCTATCAAATATTTTGTGACATCTTACTTAACTTTTAGAACTTTTAGAGGTATTATGAAAATGTGTTTAATACGATGTGTGTTTAAAAATGACTAACTAATCGGAAGGGGTTATATAGAACATTTTAAATAGATAATGATAGATTAGTTAAATTTAAAGAAAAAGCTAGTTGAAGAGGTTAACCATTGGAGAGACAATTTATTTAGAGGTTAAAATTAATGGAATAATGAGGTGACACTAATTTTAAACTATACCATAGTTCAACCATCGGAGAGATGCTCTAACCACAAACAACTACCAATTTTTTTTTTTTTACCAAATTAATCTAATCTGATACATATTAAAACTAATTCGTCAATTTCAATTACAAGTTATCATAAAGATAACTTTAATATCAAAATCTTAATTTCCAAAATCGTAGAACAAAAAATTAAAATACAAGGGGGTGTTTGGCTAAGTTTGTTAAAACAACTTATTAGCTTATTAATGGTTCCACACCACTATAAGTTAAAAAGTGTTTGGATGAAAAATAATTTATTCCGGTGGGAAACTTCTAATAAGTCATTTTTTTTTTTCGTAAGTTACCATACTTGTTAACTTATAAGCTAATAAGCAATAAGCATTTTTGCCAAACACCCCTAAGATAGAAAAAACGCAGAGAAAATATAAACTCAACACCTAATATTCATGTGGAATGTCTTCTTTAGTTTTAACCAAACAGTCGATCTGATGGTGGCAACGGTTGTGAAGCGACAACTGGTCAAGTGAGAACCCTCGTCTCTATTGAGATATCTGATCACGAAATCTACCTCTTCTTCTTCAGAGTCACGATAGTCTGACATGAAATTAAGGTAACCACTTGAAATTAAACATCAAATAAAGCGGCCCACAATTATTTGACGTCTGGGCAAACGTACAAATTTAGGGTTCTTACCAAGGGGTTTCCAGGTTCAACCACGAATGATCAGAAGCAAACAGAAGGGAGAGCAGTGAGAGGTAGCAATTGACAGATCGATGCTTTTTCGGGTCTTCTTCTCCAACGGCGTCGATGTAGTTGTTTTTTCCCCACACAAGTTTGGACTGAATTTGGAGCAAATAGAAGAAAAAAAAGAGACGATGAGTTACACAAGAAGTAGAGGAGTGAATCGGAGGGGAAGCAACTCCTGGAAATCGATTGGAGGAACAGGACGGTGCAGATGTTGGTTTTAAGACACGTGGTGTGGGGATAAAAATACTGTCAACCTAATCCGAATCTGAATGAGGATCCTAACCAGCTAAATGGATCCAACCCACCGAAACGGATCCTACCCACAGCTAAAGTTAGGGGTGTTCACGGGGCGGTTCGGTTCGAATAGTAATAAAATTGTGAACCGTGACCACGGGGCGGGTACCTCATGCGCACTAACCGAAACCGAACTGTATTGACAAAAAAACCGAACCGAACCGAACCGTATGAAAGCGAGTAACCACGGTTCGGTTCACGGGTACCCGGTAAAATATAAAAAATTAAATTCAATTGAAACTACAAACTCCATTTTAGTTATCTCTTTCTTAAAATTAGTAAGTCAAAGAGTTTAAAAAAATATAATGAAGTTTAAAAAACATAATGAAGTTCAAATATCATATATTATAATTGGTATAATAAATACAATAATAAAAATTACAAGAAAATCAAATGAATTTATAATTATAAAATTGGAGTTGTCGATATGGATTTTTGTTTAGGTTATTGGACTCGTAGATCAATCGAAACAATACTAATGAAATAATACTTTTTTTTACTATATATATATATATATATATATATATATATATATATATATATTATCAAATGGTTCGGTTCGGGTATTCGCGGATATCTAAATATCAAAACCAAAAACCGACCCGTTGATATCTGGTTTTCTCGGTTATGGTTTTTTTCAGTTTCGGTTTTTTCAGTTTCGGGTTGGCCGGTTCGGCTCGGTTTTGCGGTTTTTTTGCACACCCCTAGCTAAAGTGCCTATAAAACCAGAAACCATATTTACTGTTCATAAAGCCATTTTTACTGTTCCTAAGAACCATGACGATTAACAGAGTATATAAATCTTTTTGAATATCACGTATGTTTCACCTATAGTTAACCAAAGCTACAGAAACGAGGGTTTGGGTCAAAGTAACATAAAAAGTCTTGTAAAGTTGCGGTATTCTCAGGCAAGTTCTATCTCCTCCTCTCTTTTCTCTTCCAAGCCTATCCTTTTATCTAATCAAATTTTGGTTTCTTTGAACTTCACAAACCCACATAATCTCGGGATTATCTGATTTTTACGTTTTATTTTTCAATATTCAACGGATTTGGGGTCCTTTATCTTGAAGTCTTTGTTTTATATAGCTCTAAGTTTTTCAATTCTTCATGTTCATTTCAAATTTCGTGGTGTCATATATTCGTACGGATTTAGTCGTAGCTTAATTTGGTATTCTTCACTTGAATTTCTTGGTAGCTGTCCAAGATCGTTGTCGGTAAGTTTTTCTTATCTTTTGTGCCTTTTCTTTGACTAATTTTTTGAATGAATTTAGTTTGTCTGGCGCTTTATTAATCTCATTTCTGCTATGAGTTTAAATTGTTTTTGATCTTCTTAACGTGTTTTATTGGACGATCTGGTTTCAGATGTTCTTATTCGAAAAAATAAAATTCTGGAATAAAATTAGGGTTTTCAACCTAGAAAAATTTGTTGTAATCGTCAGATAAAAATAGTTAGGAATAGAATTGGACTAACTTCATAAACAGAAATCAAAAGTTTTTTACAATTCTAGTTCATACTTTAGATTCATGGTGAGATATTGGCTTCCTCTTCATATGTTTTCCTCTTGAAATTTCGTTTTCTGCAGATACATAAACCATGAGTCGCTCAGAGGGACCTCACCGAGGATTTCTCCCAATTGGGAATCCCTTCAAGATGATGATGCCCAAAACTTCTCATCTCCCATCAACATTCCTAACTGCATTCGAGAAAAATCTGGCCAAAAGATTTCAACAATTAAAGCCAAATCATTCAAACGATGTCATCACCTTTTCATGGATGAAATCCGCGTTGTCTTCAATTTGTGATACACTTGATGACGTAAGAAAACTGATTGTAGATCTAGAGCTTCCAATATGCAGCTGGGATATAAAATGGGTGGATATGTATTTAGACAACAGTTTAAATTTACTCGATTTTTGCAGTGCTTTTGGAACCGATATCGTGAGGCAAAGATTCGGTTACGTGATGCTAAAATGTGCATTACTCGATCTTGATTCAGATAACCCATAAAAGCTAATGAAAGCATCTTCTTCACTTCATGAATGGAGACAATATCACAACTCTTATCACAACTCAAAGCTACAAGATTGTTGTGAAGTTATATCCAAGCTTGAACAAACACTCAACTTGCCCAAAATCAAGAACATACCCAAAGCCAAAGACTTGGTTCGAGCCATGTATGGACTCAAGGTTCAGACCATGTTCATTTTTACAACATTCGTGGCTGCATTTTCAACTTTCCCTAGGGTTCTTGTTGAGTTGCAGGTTCCTAAACTGTATTTATGGCAAGAATCTTTTACAGAGTTGCAGGAGGTTGTCAATGCTGAAATCAAGAATGTATATAGTTCAAATGGGGTTTCTCCATTGATGGAGCTTCGAAGAATTGAGGAAAATGTGAAGAAGTTGTACCCTTTGCTTCATGATGGTTTGGGTGATGTTAAAGATGAAGTTTTTAAGAGTTATTGTTCTGAATTAATGGAGAATAATGAGAAGTTTTTGATTGGCTTAGATGAGCTTAAATCAGAAATGGATCGTTTTTTTAAGGTTGTGGTGAGTGGTCGGATGGCATTGTTGGATAATTTTCAACAGCAACCACCAAGGAGTGGGGTCCAACAGGTTAGAATGTGACTTAATGTTTTTAGTACATGTATGTATGTGGTGTTTTTGTTGAGGTTTTTTGGTGGATTATATGTTATATTTTGCATATTTCTACTTGTGTTCGTTAGCATGTCATATGTAACTAGTTTATACTATAATAACATTTTAAAAATGTATTGGTGTATGCTGTGTTGTTTTGACTTGATAGTTCTTAATAGAGAAAGACTTTATAAAGAAATTCGAGAAAATGATCATGGTGTTTTGTTTCACAGAATATGCTGACTATGATAGTCTTAGACTTTGTGAATGAAACATGTAATTAAATTTTAATGCTCACTTTTTGAGTAAAGAATGACTTATGTTATCCAAGAATCTTAAAATTTTGTTGCAAATGGTTAAAGTGAGTGTCCTTTTGTAAAAAGGAAAATGCAACATATGTCGAGAATATTTTTGACAAGATGAAGTTAGTCAACAATGGTTTTTTTTTTTGTTTTTTATTTTTATTTTTTTTGAAGAAGATGCGTATCATCATGCATGTTATACTTTTATGTTTGTTTATCATCAAATAAGTAACCACATGTACCAACAAAATAAGTGGATAGTATATAACAATAAGATAGGAGTTTGGTTTGTTTGTTTGCTCTCATCAACACAGAAGTAGGGCAATAAGAATATGCCAATAATAAAACCTATTCACATATCGTGCAAATACATGTAATCAGATACTTTTGACTTTGGTACAAGCCTTCACTTTTAACAATTAGTTTTGAATACTTTTGATATAAATCAGCACTATAAAAACCGTTAATCAATTTTGGAAAGCTATATCGCAAGTTAAAGTTTTATATACATAAGCAACATATGAAGCTTTAATCGGTCTAGGAAGTTATATAGTGAGAATGGTAGGTAGAAGATTGGTAATTGGGTTGTGATTCTCTGTTTGACTTGGTAGTTGGTGGTGTTAAAACTCTCTATTTCAAAGTTGTTGATATACTCAAGGTTTGATTGCCAGCTCTGGTTGTCTTTTCCACAAAAGTAAATTGCTAATTGGGTTGAGGTTTGCCTGTTTGATTTACATTGGTTTAGGATTGCGGTTAAATCTCTTCTCTACAACACTGACCACAATATCCAAAATCGACTGATACCATGATAAAAATATAAGTATAAGCGACACAAATTAAACAAGCACAACACTCTTATTGATGAAGAATCAATGCATAAACTTTTACAGATAAAATTCACTACAAAATTCTCTCAAACTATCTTAGACATATTATATTACTAAGTAATTAACACAAAGAGCAAACGAGAAAAAAAAAAAAAACTCTTAAAGAGAAGAATTTGACCGAGAACTCATAAAAGAAGTCAACCGAGAACACATAAAGAGAAGAACTCAACCAAGAACAAGGATTTCTAGTGGAAAAGATGAAATAACAGAGAAATTGATCTAAATGTAAAAGTCTAACTCTCTAATGACTAATATATATATATATATATATATATATATATATATATCTATATATATATATATATATATATATATATATATATATATAACATCCCAAAAATCAAAGAAATTTGAAATTTTCAAAATCAACCATTTAACATCATTGTTTACAAAAGAGTCATTGTTTTCAAAAACATTATTTTCAAAATCAGAGTTTTGCTAAGACCCAAAGTCATAATAACAGGAAGTTGTGCACGATCACACATTTGTTTTCCCACGATTCTCTAAAGTACCTGAAACCATAAACTAAAACTGTAAGCCAAAGCTTAGTGAGTCCCCCCCCCCCCCCCCAAGTACCACCACATAAACATGTAACTAGATAAATCATGTGTCCACAACCTCCACGTTGGATTACCCCCGGCCCACAACCTTTCGATTGGAATCCCTCGGCCCACAACCTTTCGGTTGGAATGCCCCGATCTGTTGTCTGACAACACAAAGCAGTACAGTCTCAACCCCATCATATTATGTCGACATATACATAGCAATTAACACATATCTTGAAACAGATGAACATAAGACCAGTCAGCAGACAAACAGACAGATCTACATAATACTACAACATAACGACATCCTATATACCAGGATACACAATCTAGTGGGCCGACACTGGTTCCTTCGACCCACAGGCACAGTGAGGAAAACTCACCTCACAGTCAGACGAATAGCTGAACAATACATTGCTCCGAATACCGACTCTACAGGTCACCTATTCAACAGATAGAGACCAAGGCTTAACTATAGCTCAAAATACCTATAAGTCAAACTTGGTCAACCTGGGTCAAAGTCAAAGTCAACGGTCAAGGTCCAAAAGTCAATATTTCTTCCCAGTGGAGTACGCCCTGTATACCAAGAGAGTACGCCCATCGTACTCTGATGTTGACCAAAAGCAGGGCGCTGACCGCGTACGCGCATCGTACCACCAGTTAAGCCCAACGTACGCAGCTCAGTCCCAAAACTCCATTAAGAGCTTATTTCATTAAGCTCTTATGTCCAAAACTCATATCCGAGCCCAAAATGATGTCCTAAGTCATAAAGTTTCCAACTTTATGACTTTGCATGGCTATAAAGTGCTCAATGTCTAAAGCCCTAAGTTCTTAACGAATAAGACACCACAACTCTTGTATGGAAGGGATAGAAAGGCCAAGATCACATTTTTATGGTTCATAATAGCTCCATAATGGATAAAGTTTCCAACTTTATCCATTAGAATGGTCCCAACAAACAAGATCTAGTCTTTAAGTCTCAAAGGGACCCAAAAGGGCATTTTTTTTCAACTTAATCCATTAAGTCCAAGTCTCCAACCTTCAGATCTGAATCAAAATGATGTTTAGATGAATAAAGTTTCCAACTTTATCCATAACAAAGTCACAAACTTTCAAGATCTAAACTTTATGCACTTAAAGTGATCAAAAGCTCATAACACCCAAAACTATCTAGATCTAACAATTTCATCATCAAGATTCAAACTTTATACCACTAGAAGAAAGATCAAGGTGAACAAAGTCTGGATCTACATGCTCCAATGCAACCAACACTTCTTCAATGAGTTCCTTCTTCTCCAAGGTGCACCAAGAACACTCCAAAGCACTTAAAAGCACATTCGTTTTGCTCACAAGGCTCAATCTAGGGTTAAGGTTTCAAGAGAGGGTGTTGGAGAGGTGGAGGATGAGAATGGAATGGGTTTGGGGAAGTTAAGGAGCTAAAATAGGGCTCAAACCATGAAAATAAGGTTTGGGCACTGATCGCGTACGCCCTGCGTACTCCTGGTACGCCCAGCGTACTAGGGATGCCCTAGTACACCCTGCGTACTCCTCGTACGCCATGCGTACACGGCTAACCCAAAAATCGTCCTAACTTCAAACGGTCGTAACTTCTTCGTTCCAACTCCGTTTTGACTTTTTTATATCTACAGAAAGGTGTTTAAGAGCTCTATAATATTATCTAAATATCTTGGACTAAAAACTTCTCAAACAAAAATTCATATTTCATGCAAGGACCCGGCCTATGACTTTTCCCTTTCTACCATTCGGCCCAGAACACAATTCAAGGGTAAAATCTCTTAACTATCATTACCTCCTTCCACAAGGACTAAAATTTGCCTCCTTAAGGCCCAAAACCTTACACAAATCGACTTCTGATCCATGGATTAAAAATGGTAGGAAACAGGATGTTACAATTCTCTCCCACTTAAATTAGATTTTGTCCTCGAAATCAGCTCTCGCATCCGCTTCACGATGGAACCCGTAGCCGAAAACCCGCAGATTTGATCGGCTCTAAACCTCCTCGGCCAATCGTCGTCATGCTAATTTCGCACATAAGTGCACAATCGCGACGAGAACCAACTAGAAAATAGAACCCCTTACTATTTACTGTTGTTGAAACCTCCATCCAAAACACACAGCGATTCCCAACGCGAGTATCGTCTATATAACTGCTGCAAAGAAGCACGTACAACGCCAACATATTCCACAACTTCCTATCTATAAGACCGA